GCGGCCGCAGCGGGTTCGCAGCGCTCTCTGCGATACCATCTAAACCCCAAGTAGCACTTAGCGGCTTTGCGGCTTGGCGTGAAATCATCACAACCCCAAACTAAACTGCCCTTTCGGAATCCTCAAAAAATCATCACAGTTGTACTCCGGGTAGGTTTTGTCGGCAAAGAATTTCTTTTTGGCCAGGGCAATGCTTTGCTGTACCTGCTCGGTAAACTTGCCTTCGCCTTTCATTCTGCGGCCAAATTGACTGTCGTTTAAATTGCCTCCATGGGCTTCCTCAATGCCGTGTTTAATTTTTTCGTAGCGATCAGGGAAGTTCTTTTTTACCCAATCCATAAATATGATGGCAATACGTCCGTTGAGGCGCACCATGGTATAATTCATGGCTATCGCCCCGGCTTTGCTGCTGGCTTCCGCAATGGCCATGGCCTCATGACTGGTTAAACCGGGAATAACCGGGGCAAACATCACGTTTACGGGAATACCGTTTTGTGCCAAAAGCTCAATGGTTTGCAACCTGCGTTTTACGGTGGCGGTGCGGGGCTCCATCACCCTGCGTATTTTCTCATCCAAGGTAGTGATGGAAATACTCACGTGGATAAGGTTGCGCTCGTTCAGTCTTTTGAGAATGTCAATGTCGCGCTGAATGAGGGCGTTTTTGGTGATAATGCCCACCGGGTGGCGGTATTTTTCAAACACCTTGAGAATTTCGCGGGTAATCTTCCGTTCTTTTTCAATGGGCTGGTAGCAGTCGGTGTTGCCGGAGAGCATAATGGGTTCTGGCTGCCAACTGGCTTTTTGAAATGCTTTTTCCAAGAGGTAGGGCGCAGTTTTCTTCACCAGTATTTTGCGCTCAAAATCGCTGCCGGCACTGTAGCCCCAGTACTCGTGACTGTTGCGGGCGTAGCAATAAGTGCAGCCGTGTTCGCAGCCCTGGTAGGGGTTCATGCTCCAGCTCTTGCCAATATCCGGACTGGTCACCCGATTGAGAATACTTTTGGGAAACACCTCAATGTATTGCGTCTTTTCGCTCAGGCTGGTGTCTTCCCCGTTCAGGTGCAGATGCTGTAAAAAATCTTCTTCGGTGCGGTACTCCAGCTTTTCAAAGCGATTGTGGGTATTTACCTGAGCGCCACGCCCGCGTTGGTAAGTTTCGTTCATTCAGTGCTCCTTAAAATGTATTAAAGGTTAAAGGCTCAAGGTTGGTACGATATGCCTCAGTACAAATTCTAGCATCTAAAGTCTAACTACTAGCGTCTAACTACTAACATCTAACTACTAACATCTAACTACTAAAATCTAACCTCCCTCAACTTTCCTATGCAGCGCCTTAATTTCTGCGCGCATTTCATCCATCATTTGCATCAGGCGTTGGTTGTTGAGGTCGTTCAGCGCCCTTTCGTGTGGCACATCAAAGCTCACGATGCCCTTGGCCTGCCACACTTCAATTACCTCATCAACCGAAAGGTAATAAGGCTTGTACTCGGTGTTGTCTGACTTGAGGAGTAGGCGTTGCTGGCGATTGATTTCGTTTTCCAAACGCTTGTACACTATGCCATCGTTCAGCGTAAGCAAAATATAGCATTGGTTGTTTTTGATGTTGTTCCAATCTTCCAGAAACTCGCCAATGATGTACGATCCCGGTTGCACGGGCAGCATACTGTCGCCCTCAATCTGGAAAATGCGCATGGTGCCGTTGTGCTGCAATTCTGGAAAAGGCAA